ATAATATGAATATACAAATACAATAATAAGTAATGAGAAAATACAAAAATGAAAACTATGTTTTGTCTTTTTTGCTATTTTCTCCAAAACTAAATAAAGACGGGTATATCTGTACCGAACTTTTTTTCTTAGTTTATCCCCTACATGAAATTTTGACATTTAAATTCCAAACAGTCTGTATAAATAACTATAGCTATAAAGTAACAATATAGTAATAAGTATATGTAAAAAGAAATACTAACTGAAGGAGACTTGCATTAGTCAAATCAGTTATGATATTGATATGCAAACAGTAGTCTTGTTGAATGGAGTAAAGTATCATTAATACAATATCACCGTCACATTTATGTTTTAGGAATAAAACTGAGTAATACATTGATAATATAACTATGAAAATCCATCCTAAGACACACCATATTCTTTTTTTGCGTAGATTGTCGTAATCTGTTATTGTTCCTAGCTTTAGCAAGGTATTGTCAATAATATCAAATTTTTTCAAACAATTTTGGAATTTCTGTTACAAAAATGAAATGTGAAATAGACAATATTATAGTATATTTAAATATATTATAGTATATTTAAAAGAGCTAGCCGCACTTTGATCTTGATATATGTTATCAAGATGAGTATGAGTGACTATCGGAAAGTCTATCATTTTTAGTCCTCAGTCACTGCTCGTTAAAAAATTATTATCAAAAAAGTTTACAGTATACTTATGCATATTAAGCATGTATCTAACTTCACAGTTAAAATTTTCTTTAATACAAATATCACATTATTAACATATTTACATATTTATGTGAATTTGTGGATTGGAAAGGACCTATACAATCACAGTTTTCGTTTTATCCGGCTAAGAAGCAGAGGGAAAGGTGATGTGGGCCACGCTTCGTGCCGAAAGTCGAAATTAATATGGAATTTCGCTTTGCATGGGAAATTGTGAATTCATGTAAAAACTTGCTTCGCGTTGAAGAATATTACGGGGAAGCAATGGATCTGACTCTTTCTACGAAGAAGAGTCCATTACTAAAAATTATAAACATATAGGTGAACCTTGTTTCGTGTGGAAAGTTATACAGTCATATGAAGCGACATTTCACATAGTTATTTTTCATAGCGTAGTTCAATCAAAACTTATATGTCTAATTTTTTGATAGTGGATCGAACTTTCCTTGTAGAAGAAAAAAGGGCAGAATCCACATTACGCACCCACACACACACACACACGCGCGCGCGCGCGCGCGCGCACGCGTGTGCACGCACACTTAACGCGAAGCAAGACTCCAAAAACAAAGTAAGATTTAATTTTCCACATAAAGTATTCACAAGGATTTGGATTTTTCTAAGCGGTGCGATGTCTACTCCACCTTTCTTCCTGCTTATAGGACCAAATGAGGGTATCCACAGGATAGTAAAGTTTTATCCCTTTGTAATGTTTAACAGTTAAATATTGTCTAATATTTAATTTGTTCATAAATCATGTTATATTTATGAAACTCATTCTGTTAGTCTTTTTAACGACTCCAAAACTTTTGAAGATCAGTCAAAGTAATAACCTTAATAACATATATGAAGATCCATAATCATAATATTTATTACAGTTTTTATTATTAAATAGATGCATGTAGAATTTAATGTATTATGAGTTATAACTTATATATATATTTTTTTACATATATTTAATTGTACATATTTAAATAGAGCGTAAATAGACAAGGAGAGAGAGAGATATTGTTCTTAATAATTACGTATACTATAATAATCGTTTTATACTAATAATGTTACAAATATATATTATAACATTTTGTTACCTTATCTTGATATATTCCAAATACCATTGATAATATCATTATAAAGCTTTCTATATAAATATTGATAGAATATTGATTATCGGAGTGATAACACTCATTAAAAGAAGTTATTAATGCACATGATGAAAGGAAATAGTACACTGACCAAATCAGTAGCACATATGTGACACTAAACCATAATTTTGAATGATTAGATATGGTAATTCTTAAACCAACTATGTAACTAATTATTAAAAATGGCATTAAAACCGTACGAATATTTTTGGTCATTGCACACTTAATTTTTATTTTAAAGTGTACTTTTGTTGATCAGTTGGTTGTATAAATTTATTTGAATGATGATGATAGTAGATGCAATTTTAGTTAAGGCACTTAGAAATATTAAACCAATTAGCTTACACAATTTATGCTTTATTATTTATTGAAATTTATAGATGGATGATGGGTATACTTTTATTTTTACTCATATATATATATATATATATATACATTAGGGTAAAAGTGCGATTAGAAGACCAGCCCCAATGACCTTCACCTTGACATATGTTGTCAAGATGACTCGGAGTGACCCTGAGTGATTTCCAATATTTAGATTTTAGCCGTCGCTCGTTATTCATGAAAAAGTTATTAACAAAAAGTTTGATAAAATAACGTTTTATATCTACTATATGTAATATTATAAACTATTCTATACTTTTCCTTGCTTACGTAATGGCTTTCCTCGCGAAGGGAATTTCATCTTCTCCTCTGCCAAGGGACATTCGACTTTCTACGCGAAGCGAAATTCATTTCATCTTTGTGTAGAAAATCGCGCGCACCTTAGTAGAAGATGAGATGAGGTGAAAGTCATGCGTCCTCTGGCAAGGGGGGAGGGGTGAAGTCGCTTTGCGTAAAAAGTCACCCCTTGGCAAGTAGGGAGTTGGGGTGAAAGTCGCTTCGTGTGATTGTATTCCTTAAATTCGTCCTTCTCATACCTTTCTCTCTCTCTGTCTAAAGTTATTAGACTCTTCATGTAAAACAGGGAAATAATTACTAATTTTGATTGAATAATAACTTTTTAACGAATAACGAGTGACGACCGAGAGAAGAATGGACCTCGCTTCGCTCGGAAAGTCTGGAACTTTGCTTGTATGTAATTAGTAAATAGTGAATTTATATGAAATCTTGTTTTGCGTTGAAAAGTATATGGGGTGTTTCGGATCATTCTCTATTAAAAACGAGGAAAGTGGTTGTTTTGAGAAATATTTTAAACAAAAGTTGTGTGTGTGTGTGTGTGGGGATCAAGTAACGCACTAGTTGGTTATATGCGATTGATCTTGAGTGGCGTCGCGAAGATCATGTCGAGGTCGGCTTGAATTAAATACATCTTTGATGATGCTAACGCTGGCGGTACTGAAACTTTGAAGTTTCATAACTCAAGAATATCTCAACTAAAAAGGATTCGTAACCAAAGTTTCGACGTCAACTATGCAATGAAAGATACATGCAATGAAATGAAAGAGTTCTCATTAAAAAAATTTAAATCGACCACGACATAACCTTCACGACACCACCCAAGATCAATAGCACATTCCCACGTGCATTACTTGATCCCGAACAATTTTGTCTGAAATATTCTTTAAAGTAACCACTTCCCTCGTTTTTAAATAAGATGATCTGAAACACCTGGTATATGTGCGAAGGCAATTAAACCTGCCTTTTTCTACGAAAGGGGAGAGCCCAATTAAAAAAATTAGATTTAAAAAATCGTATTTCAATTGAACCTCGCATGAAAAGTTGTAAATCTGTATGAAGTTGCATATAGATTATAATTTCCGATGCAAAATGTAGTTTAATACAAACCTGATATGTCTAGTTTTTTTATGGTTATCCTGGATGGAGCTTATCCTTTAAAAGGAAAAAGGGTGAAATGAGTGCAGCTATACGCATTTAACGCGGAGCAAGATTTCAAAAACAAAGCAAAATTTACAACTTTCCACGCAGAGCAAGATTCCACAGGAGGTTCCAATTTTCTGAGCAAAGTAACATATACTCCTCTCTCCTTTGCTTACACAAACATAACTTATAGGAAAAAATAAAATTTACATGATTATAAAGTTCCACCCCTTTATAATGTTTAAATTGATAGCTATATAATCTGTGTCTAATATTTAATTTGTCCAAAAATCATGTTCTGTTTATGAAAGTTATTCTATTAATAACTTATTTTTAACTGCGGTCGATGACCTAAATATTTGATGGTTAGAGTCATGCTTTGATAATATACCGTATGTTAAGATTAATAAATAATTGGAATATTTACCACAGTTTTTTATTATTGAATAAGTGCAAAATTTAATAATAAAAATTTAATGTATTATGAATTACAATCTTTATATACATATTTTATCTATTTAATTGTGTAAATAAACAAAAATATGTTTATTTTAAATAATTATGTATATTATAACAATTGTTTTTATTAATATTATTACAAATATTATAACATTTTATTCCTTTGTCATGGTATATTCCAAATATGATTGACAATAACGTCGTAGAAATTTCTAGACAATAACATATATTGTCCTCGAAAATAAAATACATATAAAAAGAAGTAAATGCAGATTACATGAGGAAATAGTAAATTGACTAAATCAGCAGTATATATACCATATATATATGGCACTAAACCATAATCTTGGTAATACTCTAAATATGGTAATTCTTAAACTAAATACGTAATTAATTATTAAAAATGACATTAGAATCATACGAATACTTTTTGTTATTGCATACAAAGTTTTTATTTCAAACTGTACCTTTGTTGCTCAATTGGTATAAATTGAATCGAATAATAATGACAATAGACGCAATTTCTATAAGGCACTTAGGAATATTAAAGCAATTAGTTTATCACAACAAGTTTATCACACAATTTATGCTTTATTATTTATTGAAACTTATAGATGGATGATGGGTATACTTTTATTTGTAACATTAGTATACAAAAAATAAGAATATTGTGGCAGTGTTGTTTTTTACTTATATTTTTTACTTTTATCATACATATAATATTTATAAGTATTATCAAACAATATTTATTTCAATTGCAATTGTATTGTAACAAATACATAAATAATGTACAAATATTATAAATATATTACAATTATATGCGAATTGCTTCTCCCTGATATATATATATATATATTACCTCTAATACAGAGATAATAAGATAATAAGATAATATAATATATATATTTTATTAATTTTATTATTTGTGCATTATTATCAGATTTAGTTTTTTGATTTTA